AGTCGCATCTTTTCGGGGTTGCTGCCTGTAGTGGCGTGGGGGTGGTAACGCAGCTAATATAATTACATTACTGAATCAGAATACCGTAAAGTATTTTGTGTGTCTGCGGGGGGGAAGGAATAAGAAGGGTTCTGTGAATGCGCGTATGAAACTGGGGGGTTCGGTGCCTCAGAAAAGGTTAAGAACCACTGATCTAATGAATAGCAGCAAATACACTAAAAAGTAATTAAAACTAATTGAACAAAATGTCTCAAAACAACTCTAAGCTATAATGAAAAACCCAGAGTTATTGTAACCTGGGGGAGGAGCCGTCATGCAGAACTGATCAGCCAATCAGATGCTGACTTGATGCTACACGAAGAAAAATGGTGCTATTATTTCTTCTATTGTTTTTAACAAGAATGGGAGAGCAGGAATGTAAACAAAAACTGTCTCCAGTGTTGTTGGTATTTTCAGCCATTAAATGTAACATTAAATATAAACTTAATAAGCATTATTTTCTAACACTTTGTGGTTTTAAGCTCTGATTCAGATTTTTTAGCCTCTAGGTAAAGTTTAACTCACCAACAAAATGTTTGTAGTTAAATCTGAGAATAGTCCTTTGCTGATGCAGACAAGCTTTTGCTTAAAGCTGATTTTAAAGGACGAACTCCTGCACCGGTTTTTACGGGCCGTCGGGTTTACGAGCTCCAGCTGAACCGCCTGAGACTCGGCGCGCCTCCAGAACCCACCTGTCCTCTGAGCCGCTCTCAGTAAAGACGAACGTAACGGGAATCCAGAACAAACGTTGGACCGAGTGTGAACCAGTGAAACTGCTGCAGTAACTGGTTTAACTGCTTTGGGTTTGAGGTTCGAGTTGAACCCAGTTCCTCGGCTGAATGCGAGTGTCGCTATGGGAACCATCTCAGACTCGCCGTGACATTCAATTTCATCCGACATTAAACTTTCAGTCGTCTCCGAGGAGAGGGTCACAAACGTTTCTCGCCCAGGACTTGGTCGGCATGGCAACGACCAACAGGCGGGCAACACTTTAAATAATTTTCTATTTATTTTTTTCCTCTTTTCTTTCTTTCTTTCTTTGTCTCTATCTCTGTTTACGTCTCTCTGTCTCTTTCTGCCACCGCAGTGGCTCCCCCAGAGGGGGGCCAGAGGGGACTGTTGCCCCAACCAGAAAATCACATTCAGTTCATACAAAGGCATAAAGAGTCATATTCAGTCAAAACATACATGTAGAACCCAATAATTATATGTAATAAATTAATTACATGCACTTTAACATGTTGCATATTTTAACGAACTTTTTTTTTTTTTTTTTTTTTACATCCAAAAGTTCGGAGCCAGAACCTTCGTTTTGTGTTGCTCTTAAACCCAAAAATCTGTTGGACAAAATACCCGCTTAAAGCTTGGCAATTTTCAAAACCTACCTTTAATCTGATAAATGAGCTTTATTGGAGCACATATTACAGTTTATTAGTTGCACATTGCATCATCTGATGATTTAATGACCTAAATAACAGATTGAAAACAATAAATATCTCTTGTTGTTGAGCTTATGTGTCTATTTATCCAATAATTTAGCAGCAAAATGTGTTTTGTGAGTTGAACATGTTGCATATTTTGTTGATGTATTGATAATATCTGAATGTTTTCTGATTGGTGGTCTGTGCAGGGTGGGTGTGGCTCTGGGGCTTCGTCTCCATCACCATCATCAGCCTGCTGTCCCTTTTGGGGGTCGTTCTCGTCCCCATCCTCAAGCAGTCCTGCTTCAAGTTCCTGCTCACCTTCCTGGTGGCGCTAGCAGTGGGAACGCTCAGCGGAGACGCTCTGCTTCATCTGCTGCCTCACGTGAGTTCAGCCCGACCCGAAAACCCAGAACAACCGGCTGGCATGAAAAGCTTCTGGGTCAGAAGGACTGGATCCAAACAGCAGCTCAGTGAAAATAAAAGGCTCAGAGCTTTTAGCTAATCCACTAATAGTGGAGCTAATCTTTGACTTGGTGCTTTTATCAACTAACGTTTAGCAAAATGTTAGGCTCTTAGCATCGCTAAATAATAGCTAATGCTAAATGTTAGTCAGTTGGGGTTAGTAACCTTGTGATTATGACTTTATTCTCATAATTCTACTTTAAAATGCCTAAGACTGACTTTAAAACTCATAATTCTGACTTATTTTCATAATTATGACTTTAAAATTTTAATTAAACATTTTAATTTTTAATTTAAAACTTGTAATTATGA